TTCTTTGGCGTAATAGAATAAAAATAGCTAAAGATTTCATCCCGTATGTCACAACTCTCTGTTTGCAAAAGGAATACAGCTAACTTCATCATGTCGCTTTTTCACTGTCCATGTGCACGCGCATCGTAAAAGTTTTACTCTCATAACTTTTTTCCAAACATGCCAAAATAAGTAGGCATAACTTGAGAAAGAAATAAAAAAAACTTTTTGGCTTTTAAAATATGTATAGACAAGATAATTACAGGGGTAATTACAATTATATATAATAAATATGCTATTTATAGCTAATTATACTAATATATATAAATCACTAAAATATGCACTTATTTACTTCATAAAATAGAAGATACATCCATACATTAGAGTTCAACGCACTGATATTATTTACCTCAGACAAAGAACGAGATAAATAAATATAAATTCACTTATATATTTTTTTAATCTTTAATATAATATATTCATAAATATGTAAAAAAATTAGCAAATATCCTTATAATACTTAAAATTCCGGTGTGCGTGTGTTCGAAATTCTTTTACTCCTAAACGGCTTGACCGATTTTGATAAATTTTGTTGTGTGTCACCTAAATGTTTATTATAATTTAGTTGGATGAAGCAGGTGGTGATATTGATGAGATCTAGATTTTTTAAAACACCACCAATAAAATTGAAATTTGGACAGCGTAAGAATGCGTATGAGTTTTTTTAGAGATAGTTAATAAGCTCGAGAGTATTTTATGTTCCACTTCTTTGTTTAATACAATTTCTCAGTTTTTAGGGTTCCGTAGTTAAAAGGCTAAAAAAATAACCCCTATATTTCATCATATTCGTTTGTCCGTATAGCACAGTCATTTCACTCGAACATAATTTAAATTTAGTATGCAAGCAACTCGTATGAACAGCGAAACAATTTTGTCTAGGTAAGGTCTTTACAGATACATATACACACACACATATATATATATATATATATATTTTGACTACAAAATTGTATAGGTAAGGTCTTTACAGATACATATACACATTGATGTTTTAAAGTACCTTTTCATATCACGCGTGTAACCACAAAATTAACTTCATTTCTCTTAGTATTACCACAGATCATATAATACTATACTAGTATTACTAAGCAAATTCATTAAAAAAAACTATTATACAAACTTATTTATGTTGTCAATAAAATAAATAAGTTAGATAGGTAAATATATAAATTTAATTTTAACTTAAAAATTAATGTAAAAAAAATATTAATTTAATAATTCATTTTCCGGAACCCTCGGTGTCAGACTCGCGCTTGGCCTATTTTTTTTACTATGATTTAGCTGATGAAATCCACGAGTAAAGAGGGAGGCAAATGCTATACAAAAGTATAATTTATTGTATATTTGTATAAGCAATATTCATATGCAATATGTGCTAACTTTAAAAGTTTATACACTATTGTTGCGTGCCCTTCGAATTTAAGGATAACTTGGTTTGCAATCGTAAAACACTTGTCGCTTAATCGTTCTAATGCCATTTGGTAGTTTATATTATTCATGACCTCTACCTATAAATTTGTCGTGTGAATATAAAAAAATATCATTTATGTATACATATACCCATACTAATATTATAAATGCGAAAGTGTGTTGTTTGTTTGTTTGTTTGTTTGTTTGTTTGTTTGTTTGTTTGTTTGTTTGTCCTTTTTTCACGTCGAAACGGAGTGACGGATTGACGTGATTTTTTATGTGGAGATAGTTGGAGGCCTGGAGAGTGACATAGGCTACTTTTTACTGAGAAAGATAATCTCTTTCCCACGGGAAAACACGTTATAATACAATCCAAAAATTATTTATGTTCAGAATTACTTAAAATTTGGTATTAATGCTCTTCAATGCAATTAAATAAATACGTCTTTTAGCAAAATGTGGTAAAGTAGGGGATGAAAGTTTGTATGAAATCTACGTTTTTAGAGTTTTTTTGTAGTTTTAGCGCGAGCGAAGCCGCGGGGTCTGTTAGTATGTATAAAAAATTAAATGCTGTTCTTTGGTAAATGAATTACTTGAGAAGGGTTGGACCGATTTGGGTAATGTTTTAAAACGATCGTAATAGTTCCATTAAGATTTTTAGGAAAAAAATAAAAATTAGGGATAATTTGGGAGAAATTGCTGGTATTTTTTCCATATAATTTTTGTATGACCTTAAAGATTAGAAATAAATGTATTTACTTATTATACCAAGTGGATTTGGGGCAAAAACAACGTCTTTTGGGTCAGTTATTCCTACTTATATTATAAATGCGAAAGTTTGTGAGGATGTATGGATGTTTGTTACATTTTCACGCAAAAACTACTGAATGGATTTTAATGAAACTTTACAATAATATAGCTTATACATCAAAATAACATATAGACTACTTTTTGTCCCGGAAAAATGTACGGTTCCCGAGGGATATATTTGTTTTTGTTTTTCTAGAAACGAACCCAAGCGAAGCGAGGGTGAGCCACTAGTATGAGATAAATAGAAATATTATTTGATATATAACTAGATCATAGATAATAGCTAGTTTCTTTCTATATCTGCACGTAGAGCTAAGGACTTGTGCACCTAAAAATGATAATTATAAAAAAAATAAAATGATGTGGGAAAACATTATCTATAATCTATATTAATATTATAAAGAGAACAGAATGTTTTTTGTATTTTGTAAAAATGCGCTGAACCGATTTAAATGGTATGGAGATAGTTAAAGACCCTGGAAACAACATTTATTTTTAACTTGGAAATCATCCCTTAAGAGGGTGAAAAGGGGGATGAAAGTTTGTATGGGGAATCAATCATTTCTCAAGTAAGGAATATAAAACTCATCATACCTATGTACATATATGTCTTTCTATTCCAATTTCCACACTAACCGTTAAAACGTATCTAGGTAGGAACCCGAGTGAAGCGACCTTGAGTCGCCAGTACACTAATAATGTTGCAGCAGATAACTAAATTATACAAAATTTCTTATATATGTAACTTAAAATAAATATTCTTTTTAAAGTTCTCTGTTAATGATCATATCTAGAACCAGATGAGAGTCATAAGACACAGATATTTCTCAAAACCGCAAAGGCGTCTCGTTATATCTCATCGACGTTCAATCATAATTGTTTCCACAAACGTTTCAAATTCAACTTTGACCCCATTCTGCTATAACTATATATTTTACGATAACTGCTCACAAAGTTTAAGGTCACAGGTTTCTTTCTGGTGGATATCATAAATATGTAAACGACCGGTCCGGTCGATTTTGTGATGAAACCTATAAAATAAAAAATTATAAAACTTTCAAAATACACACATATAATTATAACCTATCACCCAACTGTATGAAAAATTATTAAAAAAAAATATAAAAATAAATATAAAAAATAAAAATATAAAAAAAAATACTATGTTCTATGTTCAATTTCCTTATTTATGAATAAAGTTATTATTATTATTATAATGCAAAAAAATGCAGTCACTAGGACCGCCGACAGAAGTGAAAGCTTAGAACTATAAACAAACAGTTGTTATTTTTGGATATTCAAATTAATTGTTTGATCTTAAATTAAAATTTGTAAATTAAAACTGTTTACATTTATCTGGTTTTGACATCTATCGACACTCTCAATTTACTCCCCATCCAAACCTACCTATAGAAGTTTTTACTTGAATAAAAAAGAATAATAAAGAAGTTTAATAAATCACTACAAAATTAAAGATAATAGTTAATACTTTAAATAAAACTAGCTTTTTGGATTTTTCACGGGAGAGACTAAAGTGTTAGATGTTTGTGTGTGGTATATATATATATATATATATATATATATATATATATATATATATATATATATGTATATATTCCGAGAGCTGGCGACGAATTTTGGGATTTTGAATTGTGAAAAAATATAATTTCGTGAATTGGCGAGTCCAGTCCCGCGAGTCTAGTATAGCTTTAGCGGTTATTTCGCTACTGCGCAGTATATAACATTTGCAAAAAAATGTCCAAAAAACAAAACTTGATTTTTGTTCAATCCTTTAATTTAGCTTTCATATAATTCAAAATAAAAACCCCAGACGTTTTTGTGGGTTATAAAGTATTGCCAGACCTCTTCAAAGACTCATTTTTTTATTCCAAAAAACATACTTTTGCCAATCTGAAATTTTAATCACGTATTTATTGAGTAATTTTCAATAATATTTGCAAATCGCCAGACGAATTTAGCGGTTTTAAACCCTTCCCAGACGTAAATAAAGTTTACAAATTAGTACTACAAAAAAGTCTTTTTAGGTGTAAGAAAGATAGCTTATCGAGGTATGCCAGCAGCTGATGGGGGCCCAAGGTCTTCGCGCTGTGATTGGTTATCGAGAAACCGCACGTTTCGAGTATGGTTCGGGCTCTGCGTTCACAACAGAGTATTTTAGAGTAGTTTATTAGGGTTCCGTACCCAAAGGGTAAAACGGGACCCTATTACCCTACTTCATGCGCAATAAATACAAACACCTATGACTGGAGTACAAACATTCATATTCATCACACAAATGTGTGCCCCCAGCGGGCTTCGAACCCGCGACCGCTGGCACAGCAAGTAGAGTCACTACAAACTGAACCGAACGTGTCGTCAAATATTTACTTGGGAGCGTTGATCTCGAACAATGAAGTCATAGATGAGATCAAACGACGCATGGCAATAACTAGGTCGGTGATGGACAAACCACAAACAATATGAAGGTACCCCCAAATAACCAAAACTACTTAAACCCGACAAGTTAAAACATGTCTTGTATTCTTCATATTTCTCTACGAATCGGAGACTTGGACGCACACGCACATGCGCTGCACTATAATATCTCCTGCGCAAACAGCTAGTCTCAATGCGTTAATCTGAGTCTGTACAAAATAATAAAAACGGTGTACCGTTGAATCGATCTTACTACCTGACCTACTTGTGAAATACTTCTGTAACATATATTAATTTTGTTTCAGGTCGTTCTGGACAGACTGTGTGGGGTATTATTTTTGTACTGTGCTCAATAGTTGGATTTATATTTCCGCCTTTAGATTTTATGCTGCTGGAAAAACTAAATATGAGGCCTGGTAAGATAAATAACTAAAATATCCCAAAAACTTATAATTTTGAAATTTTCACTTTAAAAGATTATTATAATTTAGATCTAACAATTCGGTGTAAGCTACGAATGTTGAACTTATATTGGTGAATGTGCCATTTTCATGAAAAAGGATAAAAGGACCTGCTGTCAAATAATATTGACTGCTTGATTTAATGGACAGAAATTACCTAGCTTTAATGAAAATTCGTTAGAACTAGCAGTTATTTACGTTCACATGTACTCGTATTATGAATAACTGTCTCGGTGGTGTAGTGGCTAGCATGTACAGTTGCACACCCGGAGATCCTGGTTTCAAGTCCCGGGTCGGGACAAGTTTAGTTATTGAGTCTTTCTGTATAGTAAGCCTCAGTAACAGCCCGGAGTTGGGAAGTTGGCGGTGTTTCACCCCCGTGTCTCGGAGAGCACGTAAAGCCGTCGGTCCTGCACCTTAACTCTCATTGGGTCGTGTCGAATGGTCGTCCCACCGGTGTATGAGAGTGACAGGAATAGAGAGTGCACTAATGTCTGTGCGTACACTTGTGCACTATAATATCTCCTGCGCAGTTGGCTAGTCTCAATGAGATTGGCTGCCGTGGCCGGAATCGGTCAGGAAAACATCATCATCATCATCATCATCAGATGAATAAGTATTGTTTTCTTTACAGGTCTTCCTCCATATGACTGGTGGGCTGACCCTCCAGATGAAGTCAGGATGAGAGCCCATATATTTAACGTGACAAATCATGAACGGTTCTTAGCAGGCCTTGACGATAAGATACACGTTGAAGAAATTGGTCCGATTGTTTATTTGTAAGTTAACATTATATTAATTACTGTTGCATATATTACTTTTAATTGTCGCATAGTATTAGAGATCGAGCAGTGACTGTGGCGAAGTCAAAAGAATGTTATGTGTTTGAACTGTATGTATGTATGTATGCCCGATCCTATATTTTCTCGTAATTACTAAACCTAAGGCTAAACCGATTTTGATGATTCATACGTCATTAGATTCGATTTGTTAGAGCGAGGTCATAGGATATTATTAAAATTGAAATTGGCGTCTAATATGTCTTGAAAATAATCTGCATAATACTACCAATAAGTTCCTTCTCCACTCGTGTCCTCTTTGGTTCGCGTTTTTTATATAGCCGGGTTTTCTTTTGTTATTTTTTTATTGATTTTTTTTTAATTATTGGAACTATCTTATTACTTGATCTGGTAACGTTTCAGTAATTAGTTATAACATGAAATGTTTGTATATTTCTTCATCCTAATGACAGTTTCAAACGTAGGTAATTGTGCGCACGCGCACGACTTTATGATAGGTTCTTAGTACATCAATGTAATTGTGGGTTTTATTTTTACTAGTGCTGGCTCAGTGGTCGATAGTCTACGGTAACCATTATTGAATATCTGAGGAAAATATTTATTTTCGGTTTATAACGGTTTCCAAAACTTATTGATTGATAATACTTTGGTATTATCGTCAGTAGGTACTAAACAAAAGAAATTGTTGACAAACAGAAGAGAAAAAGATACTGAACTGTTTTGTGTGTATATATATATATATATATATATATATATATATATATACAGGGTCATTTTTAACTTACTGAAAACCTTTTAGGAATATACTTTTTACATCATAACAACAATATCTGTAAGAAAAAATTAATATTTCTTAAATTTTACGAAAATTAAAAACATTTTTATTGCACCTTTTAAACGGTAATAGTCCAGCATTAACAAAAGAGAGCGCGTGGCCGGTGGAGGGGGAGGGGTGGAGGGGTGTGGTGCTTACTCATTTAAACTTGACCAGATGCCATTTAGAAGGTGCAGTAAAAATATTTTTATTTTTGTATTGAAATAAAAATTTTAGAAATATAATTTTTTTTCTTACAGATGTTGTTGTTATGATGTAAATAGTATATCCCTAAAAGGTTTTCAGTAAATTAAAAATGACCCATATATATATATATACTTTCATTAAAAAATGATTATTGTTTAAAGAACTTAACCTGTTTTACTGTTTTATAGTATTTTATTTATTTATCATACTAGCGACGCACCCTCGCGTCGATCGATTTAGATGATTCTTTAAAATGACATAACTTTTTTAATTATGAACTGATTAAAATAAAACAAACACTAAATATTAAGTGAGGCTTACCATAATACACTAGTGAAAACCGCACCCAAATCGGTTGAGCCGTTTCTGAGATTAGCGTACACAAACGCACAGACAAACAGACATAAATTCTAAAAATCATTGTTTTGGATTCTATTATGTTAATAAAAACCCCCAATAATAGTTTTTCACAAATATCTTCCGGTAATACAGCGGTCTGTTATACTTTTATTTATATAATACAGCCCTAAGGTTATGAGTTTAGTGCGATTTGAGATATTATGATTCAAATCTAATAATTATATATCTTTAACAATAATGTAAGCTCAGATTTGAAAGTTAATAGCAACCGCTAAATTCATTGTAAAAGCATATCAGGGTCTACAAGAAATCCTACATACTAGTTTCTACCCGCAGTTTCGCCTACTTGAAAAACTGCCTCGTTGTTCTAACATGTACAGCTGCAGCTCTTTAAGTTCTGGGTTCGAGTTCTAAGTTAAGCAAGCAAATGGTGTTTTCTGAAACGACAGTTACAATAGCAGTACGGAGTTGGAGAGCTAGCGGTGCTTACCGTGTCTCAAAAAGCTCGTTAAAATGTCCGTACCGCGCGGTTGTGTCGAATTGTCGCCGGAATATTAAAATTATAATTAACTAGCATTGCCCGCGGCTCCGCCCGCATCCTATATGTTGATCCGGAAAACCAGCTATCACCATACCAACTTTCATGAAAATCCCTCCAGTGATTTTTCCGTGTGCGGTAACAGACAGACAGGCAGACAAAAATTCTAAAAACTATAGATTCGGCCTCTATATCGATAATAATGTCTATTTCAATAAGATTTTCCAAAAAATATTTTATGTACAGATTCGGCTTAGTTACAATTTTATTATATGTATAGATTTAATTAGACTTATAAAGAACTACTTTAAATCGTTAATTTAATTGAAAGAGAGTGTAGTCAGTTCGTAAGGAAGCTGCCAACGGCTCGGAAAGCAGTTCTACTGAGAATAGAAGACTGCGAGACTCTCAACATTGGCTTTTTAAAATATCAAGTTACATTTTTTAACATAACACTGTAGCTAGCATATGGGTCAATCTCAATTCCATTATCATTGAAAACAAACTTTTGAATAAAACGATATGCTTTATTCACTAATATATTTATTACTAGCATTGCCCGCGGCTCCGTCCGCATTCAGATGACCAAAAGCCAAATTCTTAGGTTTTTAATATTAGTATACTCTTACAACAGCAGTTTTTGTATTTTTTCTTAGAAATGAGATATTTTCCCGCGGTAAAAGTATCCTATGTGTTGACCCTGATAACCAGCTATCATCATACCAAATGTCATCAAAATCTGTCCTGTGGTTTTCTCATGATGCGGTAACATGGACAGACAAAAATTCTAAAAAGTATAGAATCAGACTCTGTATCGATAATAATGTCTATTTCAATAAGATTTTCCAAAAAATATTTAACGTAAAGATTCGACTTAGTTACAATTTTATTATATGTATAGATTAGTATTATTAGAACTTTATCTAAGTCACTCCACATGATTTTCTTATTATATATTTCTTGAAGTTTTATGTATGTAATATGTATGTATGTATCTATGTACGTATGTATGTATGTTTGTATATGTGTATATTTATATTATAATTGATGTTTGTAGTTTGTACCTACACCGCACCGCATTATTATTTTTATATTTTCTCACGCTTGAGGGTTTCTAGTAGAGATCTCTTAAAGAGATAAATCATCCTTTGTACACATGGTATCTGTTTTCACTTTGATGTTCTTTTTTGTGGTACATAAATAAATAAATATTTGAAACTAAGGCAGTTGGAGATAGCTGTGAATAGAGAGTGTACTTGCATCTGCGCATACGCATTGCGGATATCTAGTCTCATCGATATAGGCCACGGGCTGAAACCGGTCAGGACATCCAATATTAAAAACCGGTCAAGTGCGAATCGGACTCGCACACGAAGGATTCCGTTCCATCGTACAGATATAACACTATGTACTAATCGATTTTTTTTAATGTGCATGGCGGCCATGTTAAAATCCGCCATTTTGGTTTTTTATTATTTGTTATTATAGCAGCAATAAAACACACTCTGTGAACATTTCAACTCTCTACATAATACGGTTCATGAGATAAAGCCCGCTGATAAAAAGACGGACGGACGGCTGAGGCTTAGTAATAGGGTCCCGTTGGCACCCTTCGGGTACGGAACCCTAAAAAGCTAAAGAGAGTACAAACACAAGAAGGTTTAACATAATTTTTCTTTGCGTAAAGCAAAATTTATGGCAGTTATTTATTAGGCAATAAAATTTTGTCGTTCAAAATGATATATAATACCATCAATCATTATTATTCATACATTATATTAAGAAAAAAATATATACATATTTTGTCTACGTTAGACATTGATAGTCTCATTTTCGATATTACGTAAGGTTTTGAGTAAAAACTCAAGTTTGCATCCACGCTTTTACCCTTATTAGTGACGACTCAGCCTCTTTCGGGTGCGTCTCTGAGTGCCAAGCAGTAGCATCACGCCAAGCACCAAGTTATGTGTTACTTCAGGTCACCCCCTCCCTCTCTAAGCACGTTTCCAGTGAACTTTTGGAGCACACCCCATGGTTTTTGTGGTCTGCCTCCGTAGACCTGCCGTAGAGGCATCATGGTTAAGTGCGTAAGTCATCCTGCGACGCCCCATTAAGACGGGGGATGATCCGTTCGGTTTTAGTGGGTAGTACTAGATTTGCCGGTGAGTCCCGTGTTGGTTACACCTGTATGCAGGTGGTATGCCTAAGTGTATTTCCCAACCTTAAGAAAAGGTCATAGTCTGTGTACTCAACATCCCAATCCGTCCAACTGTTTGAGCGTGAAGGAGTAAAAAACATACACACATAAAAACTTTTGTATTCATTACAGCAATAATTTATATATATCTACCATCTAGTTCTATGGCAAGCTACGAGGCTTGTGTTATGAATACCAGATAGTTGATACACTACACGTATTTAACTTTAAATACATACATATTATAAATATAAACACCCATGACTGGAGTACAAATATTCGTGCTCATCACACAAATTAATGGCCCCAGCGGGACTCGAACCTGCGACCGCTGGCACAACAAGTAGGGTTACTACAAACTGAGCCAAATGTGTCGTCAAAATATGACAAATATGACATAAAAAATTATAATATTTTTAGTAAGTTTTCTTTTAAAAAATAGTATTTTTATTGTAAATTGTATGTTATTTAATACTCTTTGTTTCCCTAAAATAAATAAATTAAAAAAAAACATTTAATTATCGAATAACAAAGTGCTAAACACTTCTCAAAAGATATAACACCTCGTCTAATATCCTCTACTGGTGACAGAAGAGCTGGCTTGTGTTTCGCCCAAAGAATCGGCATTGCCATTCAGCGGAATAATAACATACATAAAGTGTACATTTGTTTTGTATATATAATTAAGTGTTTTTGTAATTTCAAGATATCCGCGCTAATATATCCGTCTACTATACCAAAGTAAACACATCTAGGCTAATATATCCGTATATTTAACGAACACTTGGTCAGTGTGATCAATTTCTCTTGCATTGAGAAAGGACTGTATATATACACTACCGTCAAGAAGTTTGGGACCACTTATAAAATCTAGGAAAAAAATATATCCAATACTAGCGACTCACCCCCGCTTTGCTCGTTTTTCTCCGTAGGTTATTTCACCTTCACAGGCTTCCACATAAGCGAAAATCAAATAAAAATCCAAATATACTTTATTAAAATAGACTTCTACCAGACTGTTAAAACAAACTAATAATAATTAACTAATGTTTAATTAAATACGGTATTGTACGTTCGTGACTCCACCGGAGGCAATTCTGCTAAGACGAATCGAAGAAAAACAACAGTTTTTGTGTGTATTTTTAAAAAACATATTGTTTACAACAGATCGTGAGGATATGTTCTATGATCTCATCTGATGTCATAGAACTTGTGTCTTATCTTACACCGGTCCTGAAGTTGTTGTTCCACCACAATATGAGGATTACATAGACTGCACTGTCTGGTTTAAAAAAAAATGACAAAAATAATTGTGTGTTTAAAATGTATTTCAAAATATATTGGAAAATGACATTAAAATTTTGAGTAATAGTATAAAACATGTTTTTAAAGAAAACAACTTCGAATGTGCATATTACAAAACGTGCGCGATAAACAATAGCATTCCCAAGGAGGGTTGACGTCAGGCAGGCGGCCGGTCGTAAAACTTTTGCCAAATCCTATCAGCAGTACAGAAGATGTACTGCGCCGACGCCAAGTGATTGGGAAATGGGCAGGGAGATATACTGTCTGTGTCGCATTTAAGGGCAAGAATAAAACACATGTAAAATACACCTTGAACTTTAGCTTCAGTTATCTGCACTCATAATCTGCAATATATGCCCAAATTTAGATATTTCTTAACGTACAAGCTTGTAGGTACATCAAGATTCCTGCCTTACTGCTTTTTTGGTTGGTTGATCGTTGGGGCTTTCGATTCTTGGGTCCAGGGTTCGTTTCCCGGTACAGCCAAATTACTAGTTTTCTTACAAAGAAAATCACAGTAAAGACCCAGAGTTGGGAAATTTGCGGAATTACTAGAACATGAGATTGAAAGAAATAGGAACAGTATGTACATATGTATGCATGCCTTTGCAGCTACTTGTGCATTATATCTCTCACGTAGTTGGTGAGATTTTTAGTCAAATCAATTATGAGGACATTAGGTTTTATTTTTTAACCATTTTTTTAATTTCAGAGAAAAATTAAAACACTACGATATAAAGTTCAACGAGAATAGCACAATGACGTATACAGCAAAGCGCTACCTTATATATCTGCCAGATGAAAATAATATCGACTTCAATGACACTATTATTGTCCCAAACTTAGCTTTATTGGTAAGTATTTCTAGTAAAAAAAATTTTTTTTTTTAATTAAGTAGGTCTTAAGTGTAGTCTTATATTAAAAAAAAAAACAAAAAAAAATACATTACTTTTCAAGTACTAATAGTACATTATTGTACCTTTTCTGTTATAAGCCGCAATTCGAAGAAATATACAGAAATTGTTTATACATGTATTATGTCACTTTGATTTATGTTTATAATTTGTTACATGAATGTGCAATTAATTTTATTCTAAAAAAATACGTTTTCTTTGATGAGTAATAAATAACATAATCTATACATATAATAAAATTGTAACTAAGCCGAATCTGTACATTAAATATTTTTTGGAAAATCTTATTTAAATAAACATTAATATCGATGCAGAGGCCGAATCTAGTTTTTAGAACTTTTGTCTGTCTGTCTGTCACCGCATCACGGAAAAATCACCGGAGGGATTTTGATCTCATTTCTGAGAAAAATACAAAAACTACAAAGTAAGAGTATACTAATATGTAAAACCTAAGAATTTAGTTTTTGGTCATCTAAACGCGAGTGGAGCCGCGGGCAATCCTAGTATATTATATATGTACAAAATCTTTCAATTTTTACAAACGAACATAATATCTAGCTGTGAGAACAAGGTTAAGACTTTCCTCTTCCGGATCTTAGGCTATAATGTTTTAATGAGATCAGTGCATCAAATTTTAGGCACAACCTTGACTCAAGGCCCGTACTTAGTGTACTGTAATCATCACTATCGTGGTTAATGATGTAACTTAGAACCTTGGAATATTCATGTTTCATAGATGCTGTAAGAGATATACGAGAGCTTTGTCGATATTTTCTCATTTAATACCTATAATTAATTATTATTAAATTCAATCGATCACGTACAGACAATGTTTTGCACCTTTAATAATAGTATATACCCATACTTTGGTTTCTTTGGTTTGAATTTTAGATTAATTTTTAACCAAATCAACAGAAGCGGGGTAAGGTCAAATCCCTATTAATATTATATGAAAGTTTGTAAGTATGGATGTTTGTTACTCTTTCACACGAGAACGGCTGAACGGATCTGGATAAAATTTAGCACAGAAATGGATTATACTCTATTTTTAACCCGGAAAAATGTACGGTTCCCGTGGGATAGGTTTGTTTTTGTTTTCCTAGAGGCAAACCCGAGCGAAACGATGGTGAGCCGCTAGTTATAAATAATAAAAAAAAATGTTTAATGTTTAATACATGTCACGAACTCACAATCTCACAAACTTTACCTCTTTATAATATTAGTATAGACATATGTCTATACTATATAGATATGTTGTGGTTATACTTATAAATTTGTTTCTTATATGTTACAGGGTATGCTTTCTTATCTGCACAACGCGAATTACTTCGTCCGTACAGGCTTCAAGATCATGGTGAACTCTCACGACAGTCAGTTGTTTGTGAGGAGAACCATCTATGAATACTTATGGGATAATAGAGAGTCTATCCTGGAAACTTCAAGAAATTTGGCACCTACTTTAGTACCAGATAGCAATATGGGAATGTTAAATAAAGTAAGATTTTTTAATCTATATATTATACACTAATTCTATTAATTATAATTATGTACCCATTAATATTATAAATGCGAAAGTTGCATGGATGTTTGTTGATCAATCGGATCTGGATGAAATTTGGCACAGAGATAGATTATAGTCTGGAATGATGATTTTCTATCCCGGTACAATGTATGGTTCCCGAACAAAAGATTTTTTTGATATATATAGCTTTTTTATGGTCTTAGTTGAGAGCGTCGAAGGTCGAAAAATAACATAATCGATATTGGTTGGTTACCGTCACGCAGTTAATTTTATTTTGTTTGTTTCTTTTAAATTACAAAAATTATAATATTAATTGTGCTTCCTTGTAATAATTTATATATATATATATATATATATATATATATATATATATATATTGTATTCAGCCCTTTTTCACGTCCCACTGCTGGGCACGGGCCTCCCTTCAGTACGAGGGGAATCAGGCCATAGTCCACCACGCTGGCCAAGTGCGGGTTGGCGGACTTCACATGTCTTTCGAAAACTTGTTAGGTTCTCTCAGACATGCAGGTTTCCTCACGATGTTTTCCTTCACCGTAAGGCAAGTGGTAATCATGTTAGAAATGATTCGCACATGAAAATATCAGAAGTGCGCGACCCGGGATTTGAACCCGTTTCACTCGGTTTCCTAAGCGAGCGCGTTACCACTGGGCTACCACTGCCACTATATATATATATATATATATATATATTCATTAGGAATCACTTCGTCCAAATACATAATCATGCTCCAAAACATTTATTCACCATCACTACCGCGTTCACGCGCCCTCAACGGGTAAACTCCGCGTCACAAAGGTACTTCTGAATAACCTTCAAATTCTAAATTACCTATCTGATTCCAATAATACACAACTCCAATATTTTTTTGAAATGTAGCCCAAAGGCATATATCTAGGGGTTTTTTATTTTTCCGATATCTATGAATACTTATATACGTTTTCGATTCAATTTTTTTCGATTTAAAAAAAAAGTTTTTGAGTTTAAAAAAAAAACATGCATTTTATAACCTTCATAGAGATGCGTCTTTTGACATCCGAATCAGCCACACAGTCCCAAAACCCACGACACCAGGGCGATGTCGCACTTACGCTGAAAGGTCTATACCGAAGCGACAAAAAAAACATTTTCAATGTTAAAAATGCGAAAGTTTCTTAATTATTCACTTGATAATGTATTACAGTTAGGGTACGGCAAAGTAATTTGATGCTACAAATAATAATATATAAATAATTACATTGTTTGTTTCAGATATATTCCGATTTCACAGACAAATATACAGTAAGAATCGGTGCTCAGTGGGGGCATAAGAATTTTTTTAAAATGGACGCTATGAGAGGTCGATCCTACATTACGGGATATGATCCAAATGTAAGATTTTTTTAATTTTTTAAACTAATTATTTCTATGCATAAAAAGAAGCCATATCGAAATTTGAGCAGCCGTTTTTAAGTGACGAGTGGACAAAAACATTTAGAAAACTCACTTCTTAAGTTTTTATCCTTAGAAAAAGATTTATAAGCAAAAATATGGGAACATCCTCAAGGTTTGAATGAGATTCCTACATGAGCTAAAAAAGGAATTATAGTAGTCATTCTTATTGATACAGAGGCCGAATCTATAGTTTTTAGAATTTTTATCTGTCTGTTTGTTTGGGAACGCACCACAAGAAAACCGCTGGACAGATTTTGATGAAATTTGTTACGACGATAGCTGATTATCCGGGTCAATATGTAGGATACTTTTTACTGCGGGAAAATATCTCATCTTTGAAAAATCTATACTAATCTATAATACTTTGCTTCTCCTGACCAAAATCTCATGACAAAAGTAGTGATGAGATTCATGTACAACAAAGGTCAAGGACAACTAACTGAAAAACTAAAGATAAATCCGTTTTCTTAATTCTTATTTTATAGTGACAAAGGCCATATTTGGAAATCTTGACTCGCATGAGGTCACGGGTGAGGGAGAAGGACAATGCCTATTATTGCTAATGATTTTCTCATGCCTCGAAATGAAATGTATATAATTTTAATTATTTTCTTTGTTTGGGCTATTGTCTGGCCTTCGTACAATACGTTTTGAACAGGGGATTTATCTATACTAATATTATAAAGAGGTAAAGTTTGTGATATTGTGAGTTTGTGATGTTGTAGGGGGTAATCTCTGGATCTTCTGAACCGATTTTCAAAATTCATTTACCAATAGGAAGCCACGCTTTTTCTGAGTGTCAATGAAAACACTTCTTCATGGTAGTCGAATTTGCAAAGTAAGTCGGAGAAACAACGGTCGAACGAAAATGTGTCTTACGAACGCTGCCTTAACGATGAGAGATATATGATTATGTTCTAGAGAAAAGTTGTAGAGCTTAATAATGCCTACAAAAAGTTAGCGATAGTCTAACTTTTATATTTAAGTCACACAAAGTAGTTTTTTATATTAAAAAATAATTTAAATTAATTAATCAATCAACAATTATGAATTCTTATCAAAATAAGTAAATTTATCGTCTAAAATGTTTAAAACAAAAGAAAACCTTTTACTGCATATAATTTGGACAAATGGTTAAAGAAATAATACGACATACACGTAAGTATGGAACCGCGATCGCATCGTAGCCTATTGAGTGATATTTCTACGAGTATAAGATGGTTTTTTTCATATATAATACGTCAATCTATCTATACTAATATTATAAAGAGGTAAAGTTTATGAGTTTGTGAATTGTGAGTTTGTGACGTTGTAGGGGGTAATCTCTAGATCTACTGAACCATTTTAGATGAAATTTGGTAAAAAGATAGTTTGAGACCCTGGGAAGGACATAGGATACTTTTTATCCCAGAAATTATCCCTTAAGGGGGTAAAAATGCGAATGAAAGTTTGTATTGGGAAGCAAGCTAGTATTATATAAATACACAGGGGTATAGCATAAAACCTAAGAGTTTATTTAGGCGTAGTCACGGGTTCTGCTAGTTGTTATATAATAATTATGGAACGCGAAAATTTAAAGTGTTATAATTTTTGAACTGGATATTTTTTTCATAGAAATGTCCCGATCGTCTTAATGGAGCAACAGAGGGTGTTATGTACCATCAGCATATATCTAAAAATGACATTCTTCTGTGCTTAAGAAAAACCGTTTGCAAAGTAATGCCTATGTACTATGAAAGTAAGTGTTTAATATTTTTTTATTTTTTTTGTGATAAACTTGAATCATTAAGCCTTAAGTCCTTTTGCGAATTGAGCAAAAACTTCGAGTTTTTCTTATAAAAAATATAATTTTCATATACATATATTCACGGTATCATACGGCATTGGTTGCTCAGTGGTAACGAGCTCGCTTGGGAAAACGAATGAAGCGGGTTCAAATCCCGGGTCTCGCATATCTGATATTTTCATGTGCGAATCATTTCCAACTTGATTATTCTACTTGGCTTACGGTGAAGGAAATCATCGTGAGGAAACCTGCATGTCTTAGAGAAGACATTTGAAGCCCACCAACCCGCACTTGGCCAGCGTGGTGGACTATAGCTTGACCACCCTCGTATTGAAGGGAGGCCCACACCCAGCAGTGGGACCTCAAAAAGGAATGAATACACGGATATATGCATTTTAGGGCAAACGACCAGTGCCACCTTTTTGTAAATTTTTATTATTTACAGTTGCTGCCATATTATTTATTTTTTTAGGCTACAAGTTCAATGAAATTTTTACTTTTGAACATTTTTTATATCTTCGCAAATTATGAAGTACATATTTTAAAAGTGTAGTACGCTATAGATATATAATATTCTATATGATATATAATATTATATGGACCATATAAAAAATACATATAAAAAAGTCTGTTCTAAGGATGGAATATTTTAAGTCATTTTGAAATCCACGTTGTAGCTTTTTAGAAAAAAAATATTACAAAAAGGGAAATTTTGAAAACGATGTGAGCTGAAACAGCAGTTTGTCGCTACTTTCACAATTCCCAGTTTTAATTTATTTGGGTACATATATATATATATATATATAATATATATATATATATATATATATATATATATATATATATATATATATATATATATACAATTACATATAACGTAAGAGAGAAGATATTTTTGAATTAACAAATTATTGAAAAAACGTAAAAATATTTTTATTATTTCTTAAACAGAAAAATAAGATCTTTTAGAAAGATAATTAAATAAAACACTCATAAAACATGCCATTGAGGCTACGTAATTATACTTTTAGTGCTGAGGGAAAATACAAATTAGAGAACAGTACTGAGTGCAGGCTATTATCAGTATTTACATAACCTTGTGTTGGATAAAGAATTAAGTTGCGTATATTTGTTCAATTTTTAGGGTTCCGTTAATCTAATCTTAAAACAGAAATATAATGTTAGAGTTTGATGGTCCAATATCGTGTATAAAATTCTGATCGGAGCTTGACTTTGGAGTTGGAGGGATGAAATAAAAAAAAAAGATTTTTTGTTGGTTATAAGTTATATGACTTTGATACGATTGCAATTTAAAGTTGAAAATTATCTTGTAATTTTTAAAAATAAGAAAATTTAGATTTTGCTAATTGGTAACGGAAAAAATATTATTTTGACAATTCTAGGTCTTTAAAGTCTTATAGTAGGGGAACCCATGAGGGGATTTTCTGTAGTTACTCGAGCGCGGCAGATTAACATAAAAGAGGTTACCTTGCACTCTATTGAGTACTTTCACCACAATATAAGTCTTCTATATAAAGGGGCGCGTCTAGGGAAGCCGATTAAAATATTTAAAAAATGTTTTGATAAGGTAAAAATACTTGAAACCTTTAAAACAAAAAAAAAATATTTGCTGGTCGAACAAACGCATTGGTAAAATTTTAAAAAATTCTTTGTGATCTTTGAGTTCGCATACCACAATATAAAGTAATTTAAAAATTTCCCGTATTCCCTAATTTTCCGAACAACATTTCCAATTTTTCCCTTAGGGGAAAAATTGGAAATGTTGATGTTGAAAAATGAAAATTCTAGTTAGCTAGAACTATTATAAACTTTCAAAAAGAATTGTTAGTCAAATGAGTTTAGTGATGAGCTTACTAACGAACAGTATTTTATTTTTATTTATCTATATAAAAATAAAGCCCAAAAAATATTTTTTTATTTCTTTTCTCCTCTGTTTCTTAACTGATTTTCTTTTTTTTTGTTTAATAGCTATTGACAAGCTTTAGTATTGTCAATGGAAAAAGTTTTGTAAATTCATGTGTTTTCTTTAAATTTTCAATACTGATTATGGCAAATTTCGACCATATTGCAGACAGATATCATACATGGCTCCTGGGATGATAAACATTATAAGCAATTAATGCTATTTATTTGTTTTCAGGAGAAAGTATAATAAACGGTGTTAAAGTATATAGATTCGCTTTACCCGAAAACGCCTTTGATAGAAAACGAAACGGTACCGACTGCTATGCATCAAATGCCAAACCTTTGCCAGATGGAGTGAGTGACACTTCAAAGTGTTTCTTTGGTAAGATATGTTTTAAATCAAAATATTTTTTACTTTTCAATAATAATTAATGGTTTTGCCTCGGTGGTGTAGTGGCTAGCATGTACGGCTGCACACCCGGAGGTCCTGGGTTCGAGTCCCGGGTCGGGCCAAGTTTAGTTATTGAGTCTTCCTGTATAGTAAGTCTCAGTAACAGCCCGGAGTTGGGAAGCACGTAAAGCCGTCGGTCCTGCGCCTTAACTCTCACTGGTCGTGTCGAGTGGTCGTCCCACCGGAGTATGAGAGTGATAGGAATAGAGAGTGCACTTGTGTCTGCGCGTACACTTGAGCACTATAATATCTCCTGCGCAGTTGGCTAGTCTCAATGAGATTGGCCGCCGTGGCCGGAATCGGCTAGGAGAACATCATCAATGGTTTTAGAGACGTCCAAATTTTTTGTCTCTTCCGTGATCATGTTTGCTGTAAAGTATACGAAAAGAAAACCACGACAAAATACTTAGTTTTATTTATAACTAGCGACTTCGCTCGGGTTCGTCCCTAGGTACGTTTTAACGGTTAGTGTAGTTTTTCAGAGATGAGATATTTTCCCGCAGTAAAAAGTACTGTAACCAGCTTTAGTCGTTACCGTAACCCGTTTTAGACCAGAACAAAGTCTATGGTCCCGAGTTCAATTTTATTCTTGCATTTTACAGATTTTCCAATGGTAGCCTCTTATCCTCATTTCTATACCGGATCTCCTCCTAAGGATAAATATGTAACCGGTTTAAAACCCGACCGATCCAAACATAGCTCCTACATATACGTTGAACCGGTAAGTAAGAAATTTATGTTAGGTTTTAAAGGTTCCGTACAGAAAAGGTAAACCTCATTGTTATCATTTAGTATTTTGTCCACTTATCCATTTAAAGATCATCACATCTTTTCGTTTAAACTACAAAAAAAAAACTCTAAAATGGTAGGTTTCATACAAACAATCATTCGCTAATTTACCCTCTTATGGGATGAATTTCGAAAAATGCTAAAACACGTATTTATTTAATTGTATTGAAGAGCATTAATACCAAGTTTCAAGTAATTCTGATCATAAATATTTTTGGATTGTATTATAATATGGTTTCCCGTGGAAAAGAGATAATCCGTGGTAAAAAGTAGCCTATGTCGCTCTCCAGCCCTTGAACTATATCCACACAGAAAAATCACGCCAATCCGCCCAGATACTTTCACATTTATAACATTAGTATGGATTTTCATTACATTTCACACCCGAATGTGAGTGGAAGTTCTTCCATTACATCTTCCACGAACTCTTCATTGTACTAATAGGTATAATTGTACTATTTTCAGATCACCGGAGTCCCTTTCAAGGCAATAGCCAGACTGCAGTGTAATTTGCAAATTAATGATCTATCCAGCTTTTATACGCCACATTACAACAAGTTTTCCAATCTCATCTTACCCATAGGATGGATAGAATATGTGAGTATCCTTTCATATAATATAAGCTAGTGACATGTTATTACTTCACATATTATTATAATGATAATTTACATCATAATAATAATTTATGAATAAAATCTTTGAAGTTATACTTCTTTTGGTACGTTTGGAAAAAAATATGAGAGTAAAATTTTTACGATGCGCGCGCACACCGACAGCCAAGAAGCGACATGATGAAGTTAGCTGCATTCCTATTACAAAAAGAGAGTTGTGACATACCAGATGAAATCTTTAGCTATTTTTCTTCTGTTACACACACGCATTTTTTTTGTAGTTTATAATATATTTATTGATTTTTATTTACCGTATGCGTTTTTCAATTTCGTTCGAGAAAGAACTAGGCGGATTTAGGTGAATCATAAATTTCTGACCTGGATACTGGCCACTGTTAAAAATAAGACTTATAAATTGTGTTGCTAGGCGACAAAAATATTTTTTATAAAATCACGTTTCATGTGCCCCTAATATTCGAATCTAGAAAACGAAAAAAAATTGACATGAATATTAAAACGAAAGTTATGTTCCTTATTAATTTAAAAAAAATCTCCGAATTTGATATTTTAATAAAAAGGGTCAATTTTTTCCATTTTTTCTTTTTTTTTTTTTGATTAAAAATAATTGAGACACATTCATGGCATTATCCTTTCGGAACATAATAAAATATATATTTATATTATCTAATATTAGTGAATCTATAGCATTAATACACATTTTATTTAAATATTAATTATTTATAACGGTATAAAAAACAAATTTTTTCATATTTTTTTTCAGAGTCAAGAAGATCTTCCCGCCGTCGTCAAGCACACAGTGTATTTTATGGTGGTCATTTTACCTCCACTGTCAATTATCATGTTTATTTTGTTACTTCTTTTAGGGTTGTACCTCACTATAAAACAATTTATATCACAAAAATTAAAAAAGAAAATACTATTACTCATAATGCGATCCAAGAAACACAAAATTGATAACTTAGGACAAAATAATTTATTTATAGACGAAATGGAAATTTTTTTGAATAAATGTGCCGATAGCTAACCAAAAAGTTCAAAGTATCAAAAAATAAACTAAAAAATGTCATGTCGATAAATATATAATATTCTTGATCTTTATCCAAAAACTAATTATAATATTATAGATAAAATATAAGAATAAAAAAACTAATTATAAATTTATTGTTATAGCACAAAGGCTGTGATTTAGCATTTGCTTTTTTATGTTGGCCCAATGCACCTAGTACATGACTAAGGTGTTATATATACAGCCTAGAAATAATAAATATAGATATTATATATATTATATATATATATATATATATATATATATATATATATATATATATATATATATGTCTATATTAAACAAAACATTAGAAAGTAATTATTGGATATAAAAAAAATGCCAATGAACGAATTTTATTGAGGAAGATTTGCCCAAAAAATATGTAATAAATTAAAACATAATATAAAAATTAAGTGTCATTTTATAAAATTAACATATTGTAGAAACACTACCAAGTGTTAATTAAGACTGAATAAGAAGGAAAGAAGATAAAATAAACTTTGGTAGATAAGAAGACATTCGATAATCGCTATTGTGATAATGTTGTCACGTAGTATATTGTAAGTCACAATTATAGATCTAGACTCTAGATCTTATTTTTCTAGATTCTAGAGAATGGACTGAGCAATACTGTCATGATGTTGACCACTGTCTAGAAAGAGAGAGAGCGAACGTGCGGCCAAATACTTTTCTTTTATTACAATTTGAATTTATAAATGGAATGTAAAAATTATGTAATATTATTGAAAATTATAATACTTGAATGGAATTTAAAATGGTTATAAATATCTATCTTCATTAATCGTATTTTAATTAATACACAAGATAGTTCTAGCCGCGAATTCGTTCTGTCTTTGTCGCTTTTACGCCATTTCCAACTGACAGCTGGGAAAAAAAAACATTTAGTCCACTCTCTATGTCTGTGGTCACAATAGATATGTAGATATCGATTGTAGAAAGTCAATTTGTGTTAACAGATAGTACATTGAATGTGTAACTTTTCTTTTTTTTTAATATAATAAGCAATAAACAGGGTTAGGTTATTGTAGGTTCACCATAATATATTAAGATAAATAAGGTGGATGGTAAAATCCATAATGTAATTGTATAATATTACAAGCAGAAAAAATTATAAGTGTCCCACAGTGTGGTCGGGACCTTATATTTTTTTTCATTGCTGTGGCACACTTATCATTTTTTTTACCGTGGGGGTAGAATTAGTAGCCGTTTCTTAAGTTCTCTCTCCAGAATCCCTCTACAGATATGAACTTATCTAACTTTGCGATAAAAAAATCGGGATAAGAAAAAACTATCTTATCTTTTAAGTTGAAACAAATCACACGTATTAAAAAAAATGTTAAGATCGGATAAGTAGTTTCAGAGTTCATCGCTGACCAACATCGTGATACAGGTATTTTATATATTTGCATATATACATTTAAGAAATCCTAATGTATAAAGAATATAAAAAAAACCTTTTTTAAGAGTTTTTTTTATCACTTATAGGTGTTCTGTCAGCACTGAGTTTCCACCTTTCAGGGTTTTTATGTTCAAAAAATTTTATTAAGTAGAAATGCAACATCCACACTCATTTCTTCATTGTAAAGTAAGTCTGTCTGTCTGTCCTTGGTTTTTGAAGTGTTGATGTAATTTGGTATGGGATATTACCTAACTTCTCTCCCTCTATTTTTATATATTATATATTTTATGTTCTTAGGAAATAATTGTGTAAGATTTTATTCTATAAGAAATTTTTGTAATTATACAACTTTTTGTTCCTATTAATTATTGGCAAATTGCTCACTGGTATTTAGCTTTATGATAATAAATGATTTTTAATTATTAGATACATTTTATTTCATAATAATGGTAACACCACTTATTACACCTACAGCGAATAAAATAAATGAGGAAGCACACTGATGTACATGAACACTGGCCGTGAACACTGTTTTAATCTGTAAAATATGAACTCGACTTCTTTAGCTCATTTTGGTTATCTCCTACCTCCTCCTTAACACCTCCAGGTAAATTTCTAAAAAAAATAATTAAAATCCTAAAAAAAAACTATTATTAACAGACACGCCGGCTTGTCCGCGGTCGTAGAGGGATTAATATAATTTAGTGGATTTTCACGTTTAAATATATATATAAAGACTTAATATATATATATATATATATATATATATATATATATATATATATATTAAGTCTTATTGCCCACTAAAAATGGTTAATTTATTTCTAATTCTCAATAAAATATTTAAAAAAATTAAAAGGAGATAGAAAGGGCCCAAAGGGGTCTGTTATTCTTTATCTCTTTCTATCGGGACATCACATTTTTTCGCGTCGAATTATACCTAGCCTAGTGCTGCTACTTGACCTAGTTGGCCTGCTTCTGAGATACTCGCTTTACAGTAGGTAATGTTTTGGTTAAAATAAATATTGATTGGGATTGGATAGTAAAAAAAAAGAAATCGAATAAAACACATTCGTAAATATAATGTTAAATTTAATTTAATACTGATATGACAAATGACATTAAGTACTGTATAGTATAATTTATATAATATATTAATAATTTAATTAAGTGCTGTATTCTCAATTAACAGATAAAAGTTTTTAAATATTAATTAAATAAAAAAGTTTAATTAGGTATATTGTATTTAAAACAGTCATTTTTTTATTTCTTTCGATTATAACTTTATCTGATGATTGAGAAATTCAGCTTCTAATATATATAACAAAATTGGGGATCAACATAAGTTATTACAACATCTTTAAAAAAAAACTATTGTATAGTAGTCGTATAGTCTTCACCGACAGTTATAGGTTCAATTCCCGCTGACGGCTAACATTTGTACTGGCTATATAACATTTTGCAACAGTTTAAAACCCAATTTAACCAACATCCCATAAGCTACCACCTACGTATGGGATCCCTAGCTTAAAGGTTCCCATTTTAATTTTTTTTTACATTTAGGTAGGCATTTTAATTTTTAACATTTAGGTGACACCTAACTGTCGGTGAAACAGAAACTGTCCCCTAACAGCCCCCTAACCATGCTTAGGAGATCCCTTAAACTTAGGTGATACTATGTGTATGTACGTGTATATGTAATATTTTATTGAAAAATTTATATTGATATAGGCTAGGGATACACCGGAATGTAGCGAGGTTAAGTCGTTCGTAAAAGATATATAACATAGTTCAAATAAGGGCGAGGGCGCAAGTGTAGAGCGAGGTCTCTAAATATGACAAATGACACTAAAAGTCCACTATTTGCGAGTTTTTTATCGTGGAATTTCACCAATTATTCATGATTATTGTAAAGATTGCACCATTCCTGAACATTATGGCAGACACGGTACGGTTCAACAAATGATATTGCTTTAAAAGAAAAGCTAAGAAAAAGTCAATATTTTATCTATTTGGTTATTATATATAAATTATTCAAAGCGAAATCCTGATAAACTGATGCCTCGCTAACAATTATAATTATTATTACTAGCCAATCACCCTCGCTTCGCTCGGGTTCGTTCCAAGGTTGATCAACTTTCATCCCTATTTTATTCCGCTTAAGGGATGATTTCCGAAACTAAAAGTATGTTATTCCAAGAGTCTCAAACTATCTTCTTACCAAATTTCAACTAAATCGGTGCAGTAGATCCAAAGATTACCCCCTACAACGTCACAAACTCACAAACTTTACCTCTTTATAATATTAGTATAGATTATATTTGTATGGCTCTGTCGCACTAACAAATACTTTTTTTCGACTGCAATAAGCGACAGGGACTTACTCGCCAGTGGCGCCAACTGGTGCGACCAAAAACGATTGCCCTCATTCGCTCGCAAGCGATATAAGTAACGTTTTATGAAATATACAAAGGCCTTAATTACAATAATAAATTATTCATAAACCTAATTAACATAATTATAAATACTTCTTAAAATACCAAAAATAATAGCACTTTTCTTACAAAACTAACATATTATGGTAACAAATCTAATCTTTGGCGTTAAATTAATAATAATAAATTTAACAGACGAGAATATTATATGTATGTAATAAAGTACGTAAGTATTTTCCTTTTAAAACTTTCTTAGATTTACGAGAATATTTGATATTTTATATAAAACTATCTTTTCGGGCTTTATAGCGGTTATATTTTGTTGGTACGACAGATAGTGCTTTAACAACTATGTAATTTTTGAGACGTCTATAATAAAATAACAGCGATACAAAATAAAAGCGCCAGAAAATCCGAAAAGAGTTTCATGTAAAACAATGATATTTGTCAATCACTATAGCTTATTAACAATTTAAAAAAGCCCCTACGCAAATTAATTGTCATTTAACGATTACACTGGCACTCGTGAAGCACTTAATCGAGTAATCATACACCAAAATGCCTTACATCATTTTGGAAAAGAGCTGATACTCTTACACTGCTGGGTTGATATTAACCAAACTTAGCTGAGAACCACCGCAAGCAAACTGGCTTTCAAATGAAAAAACCGCATCGAAATCGGCTCATCCGTTTGAGAGCTACGATGCTACAGACAGACACACACACAGACATCGAAGTCAAACTTATAACACCCCTCTTTTTGCGTTGGGGGTTAAAAAGATAATATATGGATAAATATATCACCAAACTTCAATTTCAATAACCATTGATATACAAAAACTGAAGATACACAATCAAGGTCTCAAAAGTGTCTTTAAAAGAAGTGCACAATTCGAAAATGAATTTCGCTTTTTTCAAATCTCTTTTATTCATTGCTTTTCGGATGATCAAAATTAAAACGCAAGTTGTTTTGTTTAAAAAAGTACTTTATGTGGTGTGCGTAAGGTCGAATTTGTGTTTAGACAATTAGAATTTTCGATTTTTGAATTTTATTCTTTGGTTTGACTTAACGTCACATGTCGACGCCACTTTTTGAAGAAATATTTGTTAGGAAATATGTATCTTGGTTGTTATATATCAATGTCCAATACATTCCTTTTCGTTTCATTTCTGTCTAAATCCGGATATAATACTTAGATTTCCTTAAAGTAGTTTAAATATAATTTGTTTGAAATCTGTATTATATGCAGTACCTAATTTAATATTAATTATGAAATGAATACATGATATTAATACTGAGTTTATAAAATGGCGATAATCGATATGTTCAAAATTATAAAGAGGAATTGTTCATTTTTTCCATTATTTTCATATAATTTGACGACACGTTTGGCTCAGTTTGTAGTGACCCTACTTGCTGTGCTAGCGGTCGCGTGTTCGAATCCCGCTGGCATTCATTTGTGTTATGAGCACGAATCTTTCCAGTCATGTGTGTTTATATTTATAATATGTATGTATTTAAAGTTATATACGTGTAATGTATCAACTATCTGGTATCCATAGCACAAGCCTCGTAGCTTATCATGGATGATGGAACTAGATGGTGTTGTGTGTTAATGGCCCAACATATTTACATTTATTTAATTCAAAAGTACCTTATTTCGTGCTAGATCTACAAATATTGTCACTGAAGAGATGGACGAATAAATTAAAACATTTTTAACAAAATTATTGCGAAGCTTCCTTTAAAAATATTTACTTCTCTAAAGTGATAAAATTGAGTAACGTGAAAATAAAAATTCATTTTAAGAAATTCTCTGTCCCAATGAAGAAGCAGTACTTCTGATCCAGTCCACATAAGATGCTACTCTAGTATATACACCTGGCCTCGCTCGCCTCGCACACCCTGATCCCCATGACACTACACCATGTAACTGCCATCTACTGGTATAACAGGCTAGAGGACCTCCCGAGTCTCCTTTGCATGCATCAACTCCCCCTGACAGGACACCTGAAGATATAATTACTTAATATAAATAAATTGGTAGTTACGTTGTTGTGGAAATCGAGCTAAAATCCATTTATTTGATTAAATAGCTAAATAGCTATTTAATCAAATAAATGGATGGATGGTAGGCTGTCTGTAAGAACTATACCTTCAAGACATGTAACACCTCAGTCTCTCCCGTGACCATAAATGCTGTAAAGCATTCGAAACGTCGGGAACCAAAAATCAAAATAAATCCGCGAAATAATCCGAAAAGATAGTTTTATTTAAAATTGTCAAACATTCGCGTAAATCTAAGAAAGTATTAATAAAAAATATATATATGTACTAGCGACTCTGGCTGCGCTCGGGTTCATCCGATAGCTTTAACAGTTTGTACAGGTTTCTCAGAGATGAGACATTTTGCCGCAGTAAAAATTATCCTATATGTTGACCCGGACCACCTATCATGATACCAAATTTCATCAAAATCTATCCAGTAGTTTTTCCGTAATGCGTTTCCAGACAGATAGACAAAAATTCTATAAACTCAGCCTCTGTATCAATAAAAATTGACTATTTTAATACGATTTTTCTGTACAGATTCGACTCAATTAGAATTTTATAATATGTATAGATTAGGTACATATGTACATCAGCTAGGTTATATATCATTATATTATAATCAAAAGTGCTTGCAATAAGTCTATTTGATTAAGTTTTATTTCATTCATTCATTAAGATTTTAGAGTGTGCAGTGTTGTACCTTATCCGTTAAGTGTTTTTTTACAAAACCTTCTCAATTTGGCAAAGAGACAAAAAATTGTACATCAACTTACCAGCACACAACATGGAGTCAAGGATTGTTTGTTGGCACCCTCCTAAAACTTTCTCTTTTCTACAGGTACTTTGGTCAAGAACAGGTACTGCTGCTGCTCTCAGAACTGGCGCGAAGTTCTCTGTTCCTTCTGAAGAAGAAAGACATTATTCAATATGGTTTATGCATATGTGAACATGACGACACGTGTGGTTTAGTTTGTAGTGATCCTACTCGCTGTGCCAGCGGTCGCGGGTTCGAGACCCGTTGGCTGCATTCATTTGTGTGATAAGCACGAATGTTTGTACACTAGTCATGGGTGTTTATACTATATATTATTATTTTATTATATATTTGTATACTTTATAATATGTATATATTTAAAGTTATATAATATGTGTAGTGTATCAACTATCTGGTATCCACAACACAAGCCTCGTAGCTTACCGTGGAACTAGATGGTGCTGTGTGTTAATGTCCCAACATATTTATTTATTATTATATGTATTCAGCCCTTTTTTAACGTTTGAAGACTTCAGTTCTTCTTCACTCAAGAATAAGTTACAAATGATTGGTACCTGCCTGGTATCCCCAGCCACTGACTGCGCACCATCGACCTGTGCTGTCAGATTTGTCTGGCAGACAGATCGGTCTGACGTGGCTGTTGAACTGGACACCTGACCGTGACACCAACACTACTGCTATATCATTGCTGTGGGGTCCATCTGGAATGGATAAATTGTTTTTTAAGCCAGAACAGAAATAAGGGATTCTTAATTTAGTTGGAGGTAGAATGATTGTAATGAAGGAGGAAATCTTAAATATAATATCAATAGAATATCTTTTGCTCCGTATATTATATGTTTTCTCTGAATATACTAAACGAAAAATAAAATGTTTATTCTTTAGTATCGAGCTAATCCATATTAATATTATAAATGTGAAAGTGTGTTTGTTTGTTTGTCCTTCTTTCACGTCGAAACGGAGTGACGGATTGGCTTGATTTTTTGTGTGGAGATAGTTGGCGGGTTGGAGAGTGACTAGGCTACTTTTTACCGCGGGAGATTATCTAATTCCCACGGGAAAACACGTTGTAATACAATCCAAAAAAAATATTTATGATCAGAATTACTTGAAACTTCGTATTAATTAATGATCTTCAATAAAATTAAATAAACTACTACTAGGCTACCACCACTACACTACAACCTACCAGCGCGGAGTCATTCTATAAAAATAAAAACGCGGGTAAATCCGCGAGAAAACGTTAGTCTATAATATATTCATTCTTTTTACCTGACTGCAGCGAAGCACAAAAGAGGGTTATGTGTTTGTTCTGTACTCATGTGTGTATATAGTTAGTATGAATGTTCCCTCGTATTTTTTGTATCATATCTAATCTACCTTAACTTCTCTGACTTTATCTTTTTCAAAAAAATCTTTACACAAATTTTTGATTTAATAGCAATTAATTGTATTCAGCCCTTTTTAACGTCCCAGTGCTGGGCACGGGCCTCCCTTCAATACGAGGGGGATCAGGCCATAGTCCACCACGCTGGCCAAGTGCGGGTTGGCGGACTTCACATGTCTTTCGAAAACTTGCTAAGTTCTCTAAGACATGCAGGTTTCCTCACGATGTTTTCCTTCACCGTTAAGACAAGTGGTAATCATGTTGGAAATGATTCGCACATGAAAATATCAGAGGTGCGAGACCCGGGATTTGAACTCGCTTCACTTGGTTTCCCAAGCGAGCGCGTTACCACTGGGCTACCACTGCCTAATGTAGATATTATTTTTACGTCTTTTAATTTCAGCTCCTCCCTGGCTAGACCACTTGACAGCTTCCCCATAAATGACAAAAATCGTCACGTAAAGGGAAGGTGTGAAGGGGTTGCAAAAGGGATGCCCATGAAAAAATATAAAACTTTTTTATTCGAATTTTTTTATCAGAATTAGATAGTTGTAAATGTACATGAAAATAAAAAAATATTTTCTGAATAGAGTATTGATATGAATTTAGATTTTTTTTTAATATTATCTTTCATGAATAAAATTTGTTATTTTGTATCTCATTTTTATAGAAGAGTAGGTTCGATTTTCGCGTAGTTCAATTATGTATTACTATATATTTATATCTTAAAGTATATGAGTTACTCTGATTTAAAGTTTCACCAACATCTGTTCAGCAGTTTTTGCGTAAAAGAGTACCAGCTTTTATTAATGTTGATGTTTCCAAATAATACACAGTTTTATAGGTATAGTTGTGGAAAAAAATATTATTATTATGAAAATTAGAGCAAAACAAAATTATTGCTCATGTTTTATCTTCTAGAATCTAGAAATTGGAAAAAAATATTTGGATTTCATATTCACATTTAAATGATACCATTTTTAAATTAATAATTAATAAAAAAGACATTTATTATTAATTAATTCTTATTCTTTAAATAAATAAAATTGTATACTCTTTAAATATATAAATATAACTAAAAAGTCTGTGATTACTATAAAACAACCCTTAAAAAAATATCTATCAATTTGTATTCACTCATCTCCGGAACGAATAAAATACAACCGATTGTTAAATAAAAGTAACTGCTATGATTAAAACTAATTACATTTCTCCCAATTTACGTAGTAGTTTGTAGTAGGACAAATACTATTTCAACATAACTAACGAGTCAGGTCTGGAGTCCTTCACGGACTACACTAGTGTTGCTGCAATCACTTAATTATATATATTGGGAATTGCAATGTATGTTAGTTCAATGATCAAAATATTTACAATTTTTATTACATAATAACAGATATTTACAGTTAAAAACCACATTTTGAGGTTCATTATTAATTCCATACCTACTAGATTGATTAACATTGTAATCCATTTTATCTGTTATTTATAATAAAATAATTTTACGATTATTATTTTACTTACATTATTTAAAGATCGTAGTATTACATCGATATTTCACAAAATGATAAATAGATACAATAATATCATCGATATATCGAAACCGTATGTGTGGGGCAAACCCTAGTTTTTTAGCATAATAGGATCAAGTCGTTGAGTCCCCACCACTTCAAACGTTCACTTGGCCTTATAAGGTTTTTAAAAAAATAAAAGGCGTACTGTTAATTTTATGGGTGCTTCTTACTTATCACAGAAAAATATATATATATATATATAATAAAATTGTAACTGATCGCTGTCTGTAGATGGAAGATATTTGGGAAAAACTATATTTAATAAAGATTAACGCAATAGAACCCAAAACAATGATTTTTAGTATATTTGTCTGTTTGTCTGTGCGTTTGTGCGCGTTAATATCAGAAACGTTTTTACCGATTTGGATGTGGTAAATGAAAAAGTTATGTCAATTTTAAAGAATCACCTAGGGACGAACGCGAGCGAAGCGAGGGTGAGTCGTTAGTCAAGAATATTTCTGTCACTCAATCTGTTTAGGTTAAAAATGCGAAAGATTTTTCATTCATCAATTATTTATATGTTTTCTACTTTGTAGCTTTCGATATTTCGACGCAATAGTTCCAAAATAATTACATCCAGCATTGCCCGCGGCTCCGCCCGCGTTCAGATGACCAAAAACCAAATTCCTACGTTTTATATATTAGTATACTCTTACATTAGTTTTTGTATTTTTTTTCAGAAATGAGATATTATCCTATATGTTGACCCAGATAATCAGCTACCACTATACCAAATTTCATCAAAATCCCTCCAGTGGGTTTTCTGTGATGCGGTAACAGACAGAGAGATAGAAAAAAAATCTAAAAACTATATATTCGGCCTCTGTATCGATAATAATGTCTATTTCAATAAGATTTTCCAAAAAATATCTAATTTACAGATTCGGCTTAGTTACAATTTTATTATATGTATAGATTTGCTTTGCATCGGCTGGCACCGACTTCGAAAATATCTGATTAGGTATCTATTCTAAATGAAAACCTCCGTTTAGTTATTTTTTACATTTTAGTGCCTGGGTGTCGGTTTTATCTTTTGTTAAAAAGTTTTGTACGTTATAGTGCTTTGGTGGTCTAATGGCTAGCATATACAACCACAGATCCGGAGGTCCTGGGTTCGAATCCCGGATCGGACAAAGTTTAAAAACTATAGATACGGCCTCTGTATCGATAATAATATCTATTTCAACAAGATTTTCTAAAACATATTTAATATACAGATTTGACTTAGTTACAATTTATTATATGACTAGATTTCTGGTCATTTCCAGTGGCAGTATCTTTAAAACTAGTATAATTGAAAATCATAATTTACATATACATATATATATATATATATATATATATATATATAATAATGTATTAACACTCACTTTTTCTAAAATCCGGGTGCGCAACCACTTTTTCAGCTAAGAATCTATTTTCATGCTTGTCCTGTAACTTTAAACGATGTTCCCCTACTAACAATCTGATATGATCGAGTTGAAGCGGTTGCTGTGAAAATTATAAGTTCTTTTAAATATTATATTTATTCTTACTATACAGATGATAAAATTGAATTGTCTGTTTGTAATATCAAATAACGGTTTTTACGAGAAAAAAAATTGTCTGTCTGTTTGTTCCGACTGATCTCCGAAACGGCTGGCCGATAATGATGGGACTTGGGACTTTCACTGGCAGATAGCTGATGTAATAAAGAGTAACTTAGGCTACTTTTATTTTAATAATCCTTATGAAAATAAATCATTTCGTCCGTACTTAATAGAGATAAAATGTCCCCGTTATTTATATAGTGTAGAAGATATTGCAAATGAAAATAAACGTGTATGTTAGTTCGTACTTTTTTAAATTATATATTACTAGCAGAACCTGCGATTTCGCTCGCGCTAAAACTACAAAAAATCTCTAAAAAGGTAGTTTTCATAAAAACTTTCATCCCCTATTTTACCCCCTTATGGGATGAATTTCGAAAAATGCTAAGACACGTATTTAATTAATTGTATTGAAGAGCATTTATACTAAGTTTCAAGTAATTCTGATCGTAAATATTTTTTTGGGTTGTATTATAACGTGTTTTCCCGTCGAAATGACATAATCTCCCGCGATAAAAAGTAGCCTATGTCACTCTCAAGCCCTCCAACTATCTCCACACAGAAAATCACGCCAATCCGCCAAGCCGTTTCGACATGAAAGAAAAACAAACAAACACACTTTCACATTTATAATATTAGTACCTATAGTATGGATATACCTTATCAAAACAGTGGGCAGCAGATAGGACCAGTCTCTCAGCAATCACAGCACCTCCGCAATGATGTTCAAACGTTAACTTATCTGCATCTAGCATTTGAATTTCCACCTGGAAAATATAAAATTATTTTTGAACATTACTCTTTACGCAAATTGTTTTAGGGTTCCCAAGTTATCCCTCAAATGTGGGTTCACCTTGTTGTGGTGGGTTCCGTAGCCCAACGGTGGTGGTACCAATTAAAGCATTTAGAAGGTGGGAGTTAGTACTGGTTTTTCTAGCCGGTTAGACGGTTTCCACATACATAAATGCATTTCCCAATGCAACGTTGAAAAAATATAAGGAAAATTATTCAGATAATACCCTATACTATTGGCCTGTTTGTCTGTCTTTATCACGCTATTTTTGTTCACCGTAAGAAGAAAAGTGATAATCATAATGAAAATGATGCGGACATGAAAATATCAGAGACTCGATACCCGGGATTTGAACCCGCTTCACTTAGTTGTGTCTCAATCAAGCGATTACCACTGAGCTACCACTCTGATATTGTATGCAAGTCGTCAAATCTGAGTGAAGTCGTGGCGAATCGCTAGTTAAACTAATTTAGGTCAAACCAATACAATAATAAATGAAAATTATCTTTGTAAAATGTACGCAATTATACAATAAGTTACTGAATTGAGTGGGCATTATTACAATATCGTATTCAAAGCGTGGTCTCGCTGTACCAAACGTCTTTATTTAAAATCAGGCCAAGTAAGAAATATTTTACAGATAAGGTTCTATATTCTTAGTATTTACATTATAAATACAATGTAAAACTAACGGAGATTATATTTTAGAATCACTATAAATATTTATAAAAAATTAAATTATTACTATTTAATTAAAAAATGAACCGACCTAAAAATGATTTCGGAAGTAATTTTTATGTACAAGAGTGGAATTTCTTGTAATTTATATGAAACGTATGAGACTGTTAATAATTGAAAAAAGAAAACGAAAATGGCGCCACTGTGACATTTTGATGTAATAAAATAATATATTATATTTGTATAAAAAAAATAAAAATAATATTCAATTAAATATAATAAATTTGTCTGATACATTATCTTTAATAAACTTTTATATAAATTAATAAACTTTTAAATTACTGTTTTTGCTTATAAAATATGTTTCAAGAATCAAAATTATTTCATAGTAGTATTATAAAACGACTTCTACTTTATTTAAAAAAAAACATTTATTTGAAAAATATTTAATGTAGTGTAAAAAAATTAACAGCGATTTAGTTCTTTTTAAACGTAACTCTAAAAATTTGGCATCAGTTTAAAAAGTGAAAGTCAAGTTTACGAACGTTACAACATGGCGGGTGTTTTGGCGCGCTTTTGTTAATTTTCGCGCGTCTTTTTATGTCAAATTGCATAAGGAAAGATTAATTATTGACAGTTGTTGATTGATGGTCTTCATGAATGGTCGTTTACGTAATGATTCTAAGTAAAATGTATTATTATGTCAGATTAAACGTTCAAGGCAAAGTTTTTATGTGGTTTAATAATATATAAGTTGTTTTATTTAGTATTGAATCGTCTGGTTTCGCTTTTTGTTCAGGCTTAAAGTGACATACATTTATATTAGTTTAATGTCCTCTTAACCGATTTCGGTCACGGAGGCCAATCTCAAAGTGACTAATCATCCACGCAGAAAATATTGTAATGCGCAATTGTGCGCAAACACAATTGCACTCTCTATTCCTTTCACTCTCAAAGTTCGGTGGGATGTCTATTCTACACGACCGATTTATTTGAAGGATCAAGGGCAAGACTGATTGATATATAGCGGTTATACGTGCTGTCCGCTTTTTGGGGCAAGTAGTGTAACACTATCAGGGAAATATTTACTGACAATATTTTGACAGAATAGCTCAATTACTTATACAAATACTTGGTCCGAACCGAGACTCGAACCTAATGACACGTTTCACGTCAATTATATATATATATATATATATATATATATATATATATATATATATATATATATATATATATATAAAACTCATGCATCACCAATCGTATGCTATTAGTATGAGTATAACAGAAATCCTCGCGGGCATGCACTCAACTCACAAGTTTTATAATAATCATATGAATGGTAAATAAACAGGAATGAAGATTGGTATGTGATGGAAACAGACACACTGACATACATTTGATTCGTATACTACGTGTAGTATTTAGTTTCTTTGTATCTAATGTCTCAAAAGTTATTATATAGTTTCTGTAGATATAGCTTTCTTGTATTTTTCCGGAGTACGTGCCAACTTAATTAATTGGATCAGAAAATGCTTAAAAATGTATGTAATCAGCTTACCATGGAGCTAGATGGTGCTGTGTGTTTATGTCCCAACATATTAAAAAAATGACATATTTATCATATTTTCGAAATCTAACCGAGATTCGGCTATTATTATTTTTTGGCCTGGTTTGGTTAATTGTTCGAAATTTAACCATAATCATTAATCATAATTATTTTTATTTCTATTTACTACAAAAAAAATCGATTAAGTTTGTTAATGAGGAGAAAAATATACTGAACTGTTTGGTCTTTGCCTACAATATTTTAAGTTATGAATATCTAATAGGTAAATATGTATTTTGCGTATCGAAATATATTAGATTTGCTTTGCATCGGCTGGCACCGACTTCGAAAATATCTGATTAGGTATCTATTCTAAATGAAAACCTCCGTTTAGTTATTTTTTACATTTTAGTGACTGGAAGTCGGTTTATATTTTTTTTAAGTTTTTATTATATAGATTATTATAGATGATGAATGAGAAATTAATTTTAATTTACATCAACACTGAGTTACAATATTTGTCTAGTTGTTGATACTTGTGTATCAATTAAATAATAATTTAGGAACTAAAGTAAAAAGTTTATATCCTACTTATATCTATACTAATATTTTAAATGTGAAAGTTTGTAAGTATGGATATATGGATGTTTGTTTCTCTTCCACGCCAGAACGGCTGAACGGATCTGGATGAAATTTATCACAGATATAGATTATAGTCTGGAATAACACATAGGCTACTTTATATCCCGAAAAAATGTACGGTTTCCGTGAGATAGATTTGTTTTTTTTTCTAGAGATAATCTAGCTATTCCGCTAATCATTAATAATTTTACTACAAATAATATTAATTTACTATAGACAATATTTGTACTATAAATAATTAAACTAAAGTTTAGCCTTATTCAGTTTTCTGGAGTACTAGTTTGAAGTGAAGATGAGGCAACGACCGCCCTACACGCGTCAAGTACCTTATCGCTAGAGATGTGCCGATATCATGCTACAAGGAATCTATTGAAATTTCTATATATAATACAATATTATAAATAAATAATAATAAATAAATATGTTGGGACATTGTGTATGTCTGTGGCATCGTAGCTTCCGAACGGATGAACCGATTTAGATTTTGCTTTTTTTTTGTTTGAAAAGTGAATTAGTCTGGAGTGTTCTTACCCTTTCTGTAATAAGGATTAATCTTATACCTACTATCACATAATTCTGTAAAATTTTAATATTGTGTATCAACTTTAGGTTTTTAATATTTAGGGTGATGCTCACCTGCCAAGGGAAGGCCCCATAAGGGGCCTCTGAGCCCCCAACGATTTTACCCCTTCGTAACGTAAAATCCACTGTTCTGGTACCGCACTGCACTTTTTCCTTATCTTTTATAGAATTCTGATTAAAATAGTTTGTGGAGAAACTATTAAAAGCCTTAGAAGGGCGCGTACGATTTTTGTAATATTCCATGTGGCTTACTCTATTCATGAAAACTTGAGCTGTGCAAATGTTTATAATAAAAATACTATAAATTATAATTTCCATTTTGTACTGTTTTGAAATTTCGTACGCTTCGAAAACACTCTCTCTCACTCGCCTTTTCAGTTTGGTGTTTATTATCTGTTCCAAAAAATTTTACTCTGTCACAATATAATACAAGGATAATGACAGAACAATTTTTTTTTATTTAAAAAAAAATATCCATAATATTCTGTCCCACAGATAGTAAAAATGTAAGTGATCGTTTTTTTTTATAATTAAATACGTGCACACGAAACAACAATCAGAACCGAAATGCGTGGTACATGTGGAGATTTAATTTTTAACACAATGCGAAGCGACACACTGTATGTAGGTCGCGAGACTGATCCGATGCATCTTTTGTACTTGCCATGCCTCATAAGATACGGTACACTCTAATTTATCTATAATAAAAATTTGCGTGACATCTGTTCGTGGCATCGTAAAGGTCCTCAATTAATTGAATATGGTTTACGTCTTAGAAAATTAAAAAAAAAATGGTGTTATATCTAGATCTATGCTTTACATATTGCTTTCAAAGAAAACCGAATGAAAAATTAATTTAGCTATTTTGAAAATAAAAATATATTCATAATTGTGACTTAGCATACATTTATTTTCAGTCGGTACCAATCCTAAAAAGCTTTCAGTTTTCAGTAAAAATCACTTTATATGAAGATTAGCATTGCCCGCGGCTCCGCCCGCGTTCTGATGACCAAAAACCAAATTCTTAGGTTTTACATATTAGTATACTCTTACATTGCAGTTTTTGTATTTTTTTCAGAAGTGACATATTTTTCCGCGGTAAAAAGTCCTATATGTTGACCCGGATAACCAGCTATCACCATACCAAATTTCCTCAAAATCCCTCCAGTAGTTTTTCCGTGATGCGGTAACAGACAGACAGATAAAAATTCTAAAAACTATAGATTCGGCGTCTGTATCGATAATAATGTTTATTTCAATAAGTTTTTCTAAATATGATAAATCTAAATATGTATAGATAACACATGGACTATTTATAAATGTACCTATAGATACATATTTAGATTTATTTCAAAACACTAGCAACTTACACTCGCTTCACTCGGATTTTGTTCACAATTTGAAGGGTTTAATTTTTTTGCGCGAAACCTTAATTCTTTTTCCAAAATAAAAATAGCCAAAGTTACTCCTTATAAAATCAGCTATCTGCCAGTGAAAGTCTTGTCAAAATCTATACAACCGTTTTGGAGATTAACCGAAACAAAGAGACACAAACAATCAAAAAAATTTTTTTTCACATAACTATCATTTATACTTTCATATGCATTTAGTAAAAAGCTGTTATTTTGACATTACAAACAGACACCCCGATTTTAAATTATAATTTGAAAAATTGAAGATAATTTTTATTGATTGCGGTTTGATTCGACGGTCGCGACGCTTAATCGATTAGCTTTAATACCTTCTATGAAAGTTAAACGGCATATGAGTTAAGTTAGGTAGCGTAGCTTATTCTATAGGCATTTCCAATGTAATTTTTACTAAATTAATAATGTCTCAATAAAAAATGATTTTTTTTATTATTTAATTAATTATTTATTGAAGTTTAATGCTTCAATATTATTTAATAGCTTTAATTTTATTTATATTTTAATTTATCGAAATTTTCAAATTGTGAATTAAATTAATGCATGCAGTATCCACTTTAAAAGGTAATGCATTTATAATTAAGTTAAATTGTGGAATTAATTTAAAAAAATTTCAATGTAATTATCACTAAATAAATAAATAAAAATAAATAAATAAAATATAGTATTCGCTAATTTAACTCTTGTAAGGGATGAATGTTTGTATGGTTCTTACAATGTCTTTGTTAGGTCTAGGCAAAATGATACTTAATTTTAAGACGATAATGATCGATTTTCACAATTTGACGCTATAAATTTGTTTTAATTGAGTCATTATGCTTAAGTGACTCTGTATATGTCACAAGTTCGATTCCCATAGGTGGTAATAATTTGTATTATATTTTGCTGACATAAATATGTAACACATTCTACAATTATTATAGGTTAAACGAACATAACTTAAGAGAGCTTTTGTGTTAAAAAAAGAAAAAAAAACAAAAGAAGTAAAGAAGTGAGTTCTATGTTCATGAAAAATCATATAGTATCGTGTAAGAAGGGGTTAGCAGGCAACAACTACTCAGTATGTAGATATTATTTGTACGCAAACACAAAACATTCTATAGACGTTTGGCTCAGTTTGTAGTGACCCTACTTTTTGAGCCAGCGGTCGCGGGTTCGAGTCCCGATGCAGCCATTGTGTGATGAGCACGTATGTTTGTACTCCAGTCATAGGTGTTTATATTTATTTATTTATAATATTTATGCATTTAAAGTTATATATATGTAGTGTATCAACCATCTGGTATCCATAGCACAAGTCTCAATGGTACTGTGTGTGTTAATGTCCCGACATATTATTATATTCTGATGTATTCGATAGAAGCTATCTAAGCACCAGACAGAGATCAGGTGTTCTCCAAGATTGACTCTTCTTCTTGAAAAAAAATTGACAACGTCATAACAAAATTTATGGTGTAATCAAAATTTATTTTAAAATATATCCGAAAATAACATTAAAAATTTATGTAATAGTATAAAAAATGTTTTAAAAGACAACAAAATTGAAAGTGCATAATAATTACAAGACTTCCGCAACACCATTCAGACAAAGAGAGACAATAGCATTCCCAAGGAGGTTTGATGTCAGGCAGGCGGCCGGTCGTAAAACTTTTGCCAAATCCTTTCAGCAGTACAGAAGATGTACTGCGCCGACCCCAAGTGATTGGGAAATGGGCAGGGACAAAAAAAAACAATAACTATTTTTGGTTGTCTTGGCCTTTTATGGTGTACCTAGGACCCGTGGTCCGTATTCGTATAAAATAACTACTAAACTAATGGGGTATCTAAGAAAAAACCATGTTAAAATATAAAATCCCCACAACAAATACCATGTATAACATGCACAGCCAATGTCAGCCGCTATCAATGTTATGCTAATAGCTCGATATTATTCTAAATTACGCACTTGTAAAGACATATTTATTGTTAGTAGTTAAGGCGATGCTTTAGTAACAAAAAATAAAAAAAAAACATTATTTTGAAGTTATACTTCTTTTGGCACGTTTAGAAAAAAATATGAGAGTAAATTTTTACGATGGGCTAACAGAGCGTACATCGACAGCCAAAATGCGACATGATGAAGTTAGCTGCGTTCCTTTTACAAACAGAGAGTTGTGACATACGGGATGAAATCTTTAGCTATTTTTGTTCTGTTACGCCAAAGAAGTATAACTTGTTACGTTTGTTTTATTAGAAAAAAACATTAACGGTTCCCTTTTTCAAACTCTCAGACAGTTAAATATAGGATAATATAGATACATTAGTAGGTTTAATATTGTATGTGACAGGAATTTAATACCCGTGTGGCAGATATTCAGTCAGGACGGTATTTTTACCTTATTATAATGTGTGGTACAATCTAAAATTTATATAATACTAGCGACTCACCCTCGCTTCGCTCAGGTTTGTCCCTAGGTTGATTCCCCATACAAACTTTCATCCCCATTTTCACCCCCTTAACGGATGATTTCCGGTATAAAAAGTATCTTATGTCCTTCCCAGGGTGTTGAAACTATCTTTTTATCAAATTTCATCTAAATCGGCGCAGTAGATCCAGAGATTACCCCCTACAATGTCACAAACTCACAAACTTTACCTCTTTATAATATTAGTATAGATAAAAACCTATTACCATACAAAAATTGTATGTATGTATTCAGCCCTTTTTTTAACATTCCAACTACTAGGCACGGGTCTCTACTATAATGGAGATCTGGCCATAGTCTACCACGCTGGCCAAGTGTGAGCGGACTGTTCATGTCTTTCGAAAACTTGCTAGATTCTGTCAGACACGTAAGTTTCCTCACGATTTTTTCCTTTATTGTAAGACAAGTTAGAAATGATTCGCACATGAAAATATCAGTAGTGCGAGACCCAGGATTTGAACCCGCTTCACTCAGTTTCCAAAGCGAGCGAACTACCACTAGGCTTTCTGGGCTACTACTGCCTTCTACCTATTACCATATACAAAAATATTAAAAATATTTTATTTATTAACAAATAGATTTTCTCTTTAAGTAAAAAAATACCGATTTTAACTGGTTATGCCTTAATGATCGCTCCAATTTCATTCACATAATTCTGTTTATCTATGTAACTTTGACCCATAATCTGAATAAATGTGCAAAGGACGAACAGGTAAATACCGTATGCATAAAAAATTATTATCGATTATAATAATGCTATCTCTATTATAATCGATTACTAGCGACTCACCCACATTTCGCTCGGGTTCGTCCTTAGGACGTTTTAACAGTTAGTACGGAACAGATGAATTATATATATATACATATATATATATATGTATATATATGTATGTATATATATATACATTTGTATATATATATATATATATATATATATATATATATATATATATATATATATGGTATATATTAGGTATGAATTGTATTTGTGGGTTGTATTATAACTTGTTTTCCCGTGGGAATGAGATAATCTCCCGCGTTAAAAAGTAGCCAATGTTACTCACTCTCCAGCCTTCCAACTATCCCCACCAAAAATTACGCCAATCCATGACTCTGTTTCGACGTGAAAGAAGGACAAACAAACAAGCACACTTTCACATTTATAATATTAGTATGGATATGAATGTGGTTAATAGAGCTATTTATAAATATTATAAAACTAGCGCCTCAGCTCGCTTTGCTCGGTTTCGCCCCTGTTGCGTTTTGATTTTTTTGAGCGGAGCCCTAATTACTTACTCCCTATAACATCAGCTATCTTTCAGTGAAAGTCCCGTCGAAATCAGCCCAGCCA